CTTGGCCGTACAGCAGTGGGGAGATAGAGTCATATGCTATTTTCTTATCCTTCTAGAATTTCAACTCACATACTGTACATATATGAGCAAAAATCATGGCTACAAAGATAATACAAAAGTAATCCTCTTTGTTTGCTATTAAATATTTGTACAGGAAATGGCTTTTTACAAGACCCAGAGAATGAGTGACGCACTTCAGCAAGAAAGCCATGTTTATTTCAGGGAATTAGATCCCAATTATATAAACAACAGCATAATTTGATATTTCTGTAGTGCCCTGTTATTTCCAATATTTTGGACCAGGAATGAACTTGCACAGTATGCATTCCTCTTTAGTCCTCTTCTTTTCCCATCACCCAAATGCCATTTTGGTCTACTCTGAAGGTATGATTTTCAGTCATCCCTCCATGGACTAACAGACGTCAGGGTTAAATAGGAAGCTTGAACATATATTGTTTTTCATTAAAATGACATAGGTCTGCTAAGCATATTAACCTTGAACAGTAAACACTGTTTTTGTTTTTCGTTTTGTTTTTTAATTTGTCTTTGGTTAATAATTGAAATAATACCAGGGAGTCTCACCTGGAATGTTTTCAAGTAGTTTTTGCTGTGCTTTCTGTTTTGTCTCTTGGCTTTGCTCTTCACTTGTAGGTTTTGTGCTGGATGCCACTTTCCCATCTGGCCAAAATGCATCTCGGAATATGTTGATATAGTAAACAAGCATTGGCTCACTGAAGATCCAATTTACAGTGTCACGAATTTGCCTTGGAGGAAAGGCATTAAGAAAAATATATGTTTTTAACCTATCTTTTCCTTTCTAGAGAAAAATACATACACACACACACACACACACACGGTATACCTAAAGTCAAGCCCCATAGGCCATCAGACAATCTAAAGACCATCACATCATAATTTGTGAACATCAAAGAAAATGTAATTGTACCAAGGAATGTTCAAGGTCATGAAGTCGAACGAACGAGTGTTTAGAAAAAAAAATCAATTTAAACATTTGATGTAATTTACCAAATAGTCTGTGACCTTTTGTACACCCTGTATTTTAGGTAGCATACAGTAGTTGGTATCATGAAATTCACTTACATCCCCATGTACTACCTGAACAATACAGCTCAGAGTGATCTGAATGTGTTACAACTGTAAATGAGTAACATTAAGGAGTCAGATGGCTAAGGAGAACCATGAAAACAGTCTCAAACTCTCATTTTACAATTAGGATCCATTGATCATATCAGCTTCCCGCAACCCCAACTAGCGAGTAGTCAGCAATGTTCAGAGTTGTAGTCTGGCAATGTCTGAAAGACCACGGTTTCTCCATTCTTTGTCTATACCGGTGTTTTTCAATCTTGGCAACTTTAAGATGTGTGGACTTCAACTCCCAGAATTCCTCAGCCAGCTGGCAGGGGAATTCTGGGAGTTGAAGTCCACATATCTTAAAGTTGCCAAGTTTGAAAAACACGGGTCTATACATTGTAGTGGAAGGAAATAATAGAATGAATTGTTACCACTTCCAGCTGCACTTGAAACAAATCCCATTTTAACTACCTTGGGGGGGGTGTTCTTTATTTTTATTTGTTTTTAAGGTTCTAATCACAGAAATAAACATAGTTGTTGATGTGCTACTTTTTAAACATTTGCAATACATTTGTTATATAAAAGAAGGTAAGATTAAAATGGCACTGTACTCCATCTGTAGTTTGACATAGTATAATTTAATATCACATCAGAATTCGACAAATAGAATCTGAATGCTAGAAATGGAGATAGAGACAGGAAAAGATGGATAAGTCTAATTAATGCTCACCAATAAACTGGAAAGTAAAGTTCGATTGGTCATTCTTTTTAATGCAGCCTTGTTAAGCCACTGTCGCTTATTTCTGATAGTAACAGCTGAAAAGTGGGTTGCTTGCCATTTTTATATAACTGAAATATGATGTTATTTAAGTGAAGATGGGCTGCTGTATCATACATAATATAATAATGCAAAAAAGCAATATTTGCCAATTTTAATAAGGTAAAAAGCAATTTTAATAAGGTACTTCCCAACCTACTATTTAAAAAGTACAAGTGTTCTATTTATTCACTAAAAATAGCCTATACTAATTGTCTATATTATATTCATGTGGACTGGAAACAGGGTAGGGTCATTTGATCAACTTTCTCCAAGCTTTAGGGAACATCAGAGGTGACCCTGGAGAAGGAATGCAGCGGTTAGCGAAAGTTGAATTAAATAGGAAAGTAACAAAATGTTAGAAAAAATTTTAAGTGGCTGTGCTGTGCCTTAACTCTCTTTGATATAAGAGGGAGTGAAGGAAAAATGCTGTCAGGCTTTCAAGATTCTGTTACTATATATAGCCCAGTGTTGTGCAAACTGGGAGTTGAAGTCCACTCATCTTAAAGTGGCTAAGTTTGGACAACACTGCTATAGCCTATATCAATCAAGTAGAGTTCCAGTATTTCTTCAGTTTTCTGACGTGGCCACTTCAAACGCTGACATAAACCGACTCCTTGGCTGAGAATTACAGTCCTAAATAGAAGAGAATGTCTGTAGCTCAGGGTTGAACTGTGGAGTCCTTGGTGCTCTCTGAGGTAGGTCGTTTGGTTGCAGACATTTCATTTCCCAATTAGGTAACATCAATACTAGTGAGTGTGGGGTTTGCTATCTGTATATATACAGTACTTTCCCTGCCAGTGCTGGTAGGGGTGTGGCTTTCTCCTTGGCAGTTCCTTGATTAGGGTATTGTTTCTGCTTGATATTACAGTCCTACCACATTCAAGGACACCAGATTGAGAAAGGATAATTAGAATAATTTTAAATATATTTCTGGTTGCAATAGTTCTATCATACAGTTCAATACTATTTAGTTGCTGAAACAAATGACAGAGTTGCCTGTTTTATTTAATATTTCGGAGGTTTCTCTTTTATCAATACCTGAACCTTACTTCAAAATGTCTCAGAAGCACCATTCTCTGGAAACATAACTCAGCTTATAAACTTCTACTCTTATACCCACTCTGGTAGCTCATATTTGTATTTTAGCATTATAGCTAAAAAAGGATATTGCTATTCACACTATTTTTCTGCTCATGTGCCTGTACAGTACTGCAGAAAAAAGAGCCGGCAATTTGGCACTTCTGTTTCCATCAAAAGTTTCCTCTGTATTTTAGAAGAACTCCCTTTTGCCTTAAACAGAAGGGCGGTGCAAAGCATTCAAAAAGATACTTCATAAAGTGCAAGGAAGCAAAAGACACCCCTTTCTTTGAGACATTAAAACAACCACATCATCAGAACTCCTGGTGCATACTGGCTGGGGAATTGTGGGAGTTGATGTCCACACATCTTAAGGTTGCCACGGTTGAGAAACACTGCTCTAATGTAATTACAACACAAAGCTCTTAGCTATCAACTGCTGTTTCACCCAGTGCTGATCAACCATGCGTAGGATAGTAATCTTACTATTCTACATTACTGGACTGTCTACTTGATTGCCTTTTTCTTTTTTATCTTTATTATTTTCCCATCACTATATCCAACTGAAGATATCACAAAAGGCATTGCCATCAAAATCATCATCATCATCACCACCACCATCGTCACCACCTTTTGCTATCCCTGAGCAGGATAATATATCTCGCAATGGCAATCATTTATCAAAATATATACTATTCACTGAATTAGAGTTGTGTATTCTAAAGTATAATCATGCAAAAGTATCACTTGTGTCTCCTGTTCATGGCATTTAATAATTTGAAGCATGTTAGGAAGAGCTTGTGTTGTAATTTGCAAGCCATCATCTGCCTAAGTGCACTAAACAATGAACAACTGTTTTCCTCATTTCCAGAGTCGTCTTCTCTCTTCCCTGAGCCAACAGCATACCACTACCTTTTTATAATCCACATAAGAAACAAGTTGTATCTTGCACTGCATTCCTGTAAGTCATATTTAGTTCTATTTCAATGCATGGCACCTAAATGTTAAAAACCACAACTATAATAGAAATTCATTAACTGTTGGTGATAATCTTGCATTTTCTTGTAGAAAGTGGCTCAGGTTCATATGGTGGAAGTAATTTAGAGTACCTGAACCTTACTTCAAAATGTCTCAGAAGCACCGTTCCATGGAAACGTAACTCAGCTTATAAACTTCTACTCTTATACCCACTCTGGTAGCTCATATTTGTATTGTATGCAGATATACATTTGGTATCTGATGAAAAATTCAGGATCCTGACTATCTCAGCCTCTGTGTTGTTCAAGCAGGTATGTTTTCTGTCGAAGTATTTCTGTTGTATCGGGTGAAACAGGACAATGCAATTCTATACCTTTATATTCAGAAGTGAGTTGCACTGTTTTCAGTGTCATTTCTTCATAACTGTTACTTCTAGGCATGGAACAATAATATTATTTCTACTCAAATCGATAGAATTTGCAAATGCAGACTTCCTTGGCACAGCTTCTGATATAGCTTGGGACAGGATGTTCACTGTGTTATTCAACACAGCACACCGTAAGAAAAAAAACCCTTTCTATTTCTAAGTAAATAAATAAATCTGTGAAAAACAGTTTTGCCTGTTTCTAAGAATCAGGCCAATCACAACCTCTGTCTGGATTGTTTCTGACTCTTTCTGCATCAAATCGCTAATTCTTACACAATAATTTTAGAAGCAAAGGAAGTGTAGCACACTCACTTGTTGATGGTTCTTCCAAAAGTGATCTGAACTAGTGCAATTAGTGTCTTCCTCACCCACTTAAACACTAAAACAAAGAAAAGCAAGCAGCACAAAGGAGTAAATGCAAAACCTGCAGTTAATGCCCATTTAAATATGCTGTTGTATACCTGGGTGAATAACTTCTCTACATGACATTGTGAGGAGAGATAATTCAGAGTTGTACAGTGTGATTTTCAACAGATGGTAGAAGGACTTTTCTTCAAGCATATTCTGGGGAAACTAAGGGCAGAACTCAGCTCTGAGTCACTTTGTCATCTGATTCTGTGAAAGCCATGGAAGTCTGTAATGTCTGGGATCAGTGACAGCTAAAATGAGGATAAACAAGTGAAATTAAATCCAAATACGAAAAGAGGTTCTATGGGTCAGGCTCACAGATAGGGGCATCATTCTGCTCTGGCCAGCAGCTTTGGAATATACATCCAGCCTTGTTATTAAATGTTTGAGTATTGATGTGGGGCAGGAGTGGTTTTGCCCAATTTAGAAGATTGTCTCAATAGAAATGACTGCTGGATCAATCTCACCTGACAAATGTATTAGTTACTGTTTGACTGGGATATTAGCAAGGTCCTTCATACCAACTTCAGACACCACACAGTCTGCAGCCAAAGTTATGACTGAATCAAGTAATCCTATCATGTAACCTCAGTATAACAACTGTACTGGTTTCCAACCCATTTCTAGTTTAATTCAGAGTGCTACTTATTACCTACCTTATTAACACCCTAAATAACTCTGAGTTAGTTGAGAGACTATATTCTTTCCAATCTGGTGAGGGTCCAAATCTAGAATCTTCAGCTGGTTTCTGTTGTTATATAACTGATTGATTGATTATGTATTTTCACATCAGTGTCAACTCCTAGAATCACTTTAACTGGCATAGTTTCCATTCAGCCCACCTTATCTGTTTCAAGGTATTTGTTTATAATTCACCAGTCATATTCAACTACAAGCCTTTTCTTGTTTCAGAATAAATATAAATCTTTCTAATGAATAATAGCAGATCTGGGATGGTTAGTTACTTGTTTGCTACTCCATGCAGCATTTGTCATTATTTAATCTACAGTTGAGAGCAATGGGATTTATATACTTATTTAAACATTGGTATTTTATCCTTCAAATCAAATGTTTACCCAAGGCAACTTTCAAACACTGTAAAACCTTCTAACTAAAATGACAGCATAACCAATATAATAAAACTATTAGGCTAAACAAGCCATAAAACAGCCACTAGATTGCAAATGTTAGAGGTTTAAATTGCTATACATTATTATGGAACCATGTTCTTAGGTTTTAAGAAACTGGAATGCCCAGATTTTACTTTTAAATCAACGATGGGATTCATAAAGAACCCAACTATTCCAAGACCTGGCACATATTAGACAAAAAAATCTTAAAATATCATGCAAATACATATCCTTTCCTGACATGCTAATGCTACATGCAAATGGATCAGCACACGCAGTAAATATTTATAGGTGATTATGAGATACATTGATTAATTATGTGCCATCAAGTCATTGTCAACATTTAGTGAACACATAGAGAGATTTTCTCCATGATGATCAGTCCCTAACCTGGTCTGTCAGGTCTTCCAACGGCACACCCATTGCCGCTGTAACTGAGTCCATCCACCTTGCTGCTGGTCGTTCTCTTCTTCCTTCCACCTTTCCCAGCATTGGAGCCTTCTCTAGGGAGCTAGGTCTTTGCATAATCTGTCCAAAGTAGGATAATTTGAGCCTGGTCATTTATGCCTTGAGTGAGAACTCTGGTTGATTTGTTCAATGATCCATTTATTTGTTTTCTTGGCTGTCCACAGTATTTCTCAGGAGTTTTCCTCAACACGAAAGTTCAAAAGCATAATATTCTTCCTACCCTGCTTTTTCAAAGTCCACATTTTGCTTCCATAGAGTGTCACGGGGAATACCATTGCTTGCATGATTCTGATCTTTGTAGATGTAGACACATCACAGCATTTGAATATCTTTTCTAAGGCCTTCATGGCTACTCTACCAAGTGCTAATCTGCGGCATACCTCTTGACTACTTGTTCCTTTAATGTTGATGGTTGATCCTAAAAGGCAGAACCTATCACCACTTCAATATCTTCATTGACAATTCTAAGGTGGATTGTTCTTCCTGTTGTCATTAGTTTGGTCTTCTTATATTTAATTTAGGCCCATTTTTTTCACTGTGCTTCTTAACTTTCATTACTAGAGCTTGCAAATCCTTTGCATTTTCACCTATCAGGGTAGTGTCATCAGCACAGTGCAGGTTACTGATGTTTCTTCCTCCAATTTTAAAACCATGCTCATCTTCTTCCATATGAGATACAGTTGCAAGAAAAAGTATGTGAACCTTTTGGAATGTCATGGTGTTCTGCGTTAATTTGTCATAAAATGTGATCTGACCGTCATCTAAGTCAAGAGTATTGACAAACATAATGTGCCTAAAATAATAACACAAAAACAATTCTGATCCTTCATGTCTTTATAGGGAACAACCATAAAAACCTTACAGTGCTAGTGGAAAAAGTATGTGAACCTTTTGGAATGTCATGGTGTTCTGCATTAATTTGTCATAAAATGTGATCTGACCGTCATCTAAGTCAAGAGTATTGACAAACATAATGTGCCTAAAATAATAACACAAAAACAATTCTGATCCTTCATGTCTTTATAGGGAACAACCATAAAAACCTTACAGTGCTAGTGGAAAAAGTATGTGAACCTTTTGGAATGTCATGGTGTTCTGCATTAATTTGTCATAAAATGTGATCTGACCGTCACCTAAGTCAAGAGTATTGACAAATATAATGTGCCTAAAATAATAACACAAAAACAATTCTGATCCTTCATGTCTT